ATATAGATAGATATTCGCAAGCAAATCTTTTATCGATATTATATAATTTCAAATTCAGCTATATCTGTTTCGTTTACGATTTACAGGAATAGAATAAAAGAAAAATGCAATACCTTACGTCAATATGTTGCGAATTCATGTTTATTTTCTCAATATGCATTGTACAAATATGATTAATAAAACTTCTAATAATTCTTGAAATTATTCGTAAAAAGTAAGTTCCGTTGAGTCTCGATTAATGGCCTAATCGGAAAATGACGAAACGTATTTAAATTTATGAAAGATAATTAATATATTATCAATATTGTTTTATTACGCATTAAAAATTTTGTTTATTATAATTTTTAACAGAATTCTATGTTTGAATTATTTAAGACTTTAATTTGCCATTTCGGGATTTTCAGACATAACTTTACACGAATTTCATTTTTGCACTTTTTTTAGAGAGTGAATAAATTGCAATATGTACATCTCTTATCTCTCTATATAATTGAGCATTAATGTTCATGCGATACTTAATGTGGTACTAGCAGTTTCTATTTTATTACTGTTTCAGCTATTCGAGATTATTAAGCAACACACATCATTATCGTAAATGCACTTATAACTATTTATAATGTACTGCCACGAAACTTATATTGAAAAATATAATTACAAAATTCCATGGCTATCGGATTTCGATTTTCTACTTTATTCCTTCCATCATTTCTATGTTAATCATCAAAAATTATAAGATAAGTATTAAATAATAAAAATATTTAGAATTATTACTTTCTATATATATATTTTTAGGATCAAAAACAATTCAATGTTCTATTTATCAGCTATGTACATAAAAAAAAATCAAACTAAAAATCAAATTAAAAATTTAAATTACTTAACACATTCGTTAACACATTCAAAAATTAAAACTAAATTAAGATTATATAATTTAAAACATAATTTCAATTATTTATAATTGAAGAATTATTATATAAAGGAAAAGAATTGCTAATCAGATTAAAGTACACGAGAGTATAACTATTCCTTCTTAACAATGTAATATTTTATATTTATAATGTGCTTTCACTTTTTAATTAATTTTAATAAATATTCAAGTATAAATTACATTATTATATTAACAGTATAGATTTACACATTTGTATCAAAACGGAGCAATATACTAATCAGGTGTAACATTGAATGTACTATTAGGACTAACATATTAATTAATATTAATTATATTAAAATATGCGATCACGTTTTATCCATGTACCGTTATTTTATTTTTTTACATATATATTTCAATAGTTTTATTGTTGACGTAGTTCGATGTGTTGTCATAACGCGAACGCGAACGATTTGTCCTTTGTTTATTTTGAACACATGTGTGGTGATCTTCCGCTTTCTCTTTCCTCCTCCTCTCCATCCTTCCTATATTCACATCGCGACTACACCACTATACGACTACGTAGTTCGGACATTCGTAATCATACTGCATTTTGCTTGCTCGATTTTTGCACCGAAAATCAATCCTGTAATTCATACAATAACGTGAATGCCTAATTGGGGGTGCCTTAAATTACATGGAGTGCTAATTAACTCGTGCGATCGCAAATAATTGTTTGACATTGTTCTTCGATAAATACGTTCATATATATGCTGTCCCAAAGCCGAAATATTCCAGCCATCTCTCAATTTTCTCGTCCTTGCATTACAGATATTGATATCTTTAATTGTCGACCAATTATTAATTATATTAGCGTTGGCCGCATCAAAAGCATCAGGCAGAGAGTAGTAGCTTAATTAATTAACATCAATATATCATCGTAAAATAATTCATTGCGATTGAGATCGTTGACATTTCTCAGAATATGGCGGAATAGTTTTCGTTTTCGCGTAGCCGCGTGAAGTTGGCACGATTCGCGCGATTCAAATCTTGCGTTTCAGTAGTTTAGTTTAGTCCAATCGCGTCGCGCGTTACATAGGTGTGTTTCCGTGGTGTTTCGCGTCGTTTTACACGTTAGTTTTTTTTTCATTTCAAGTACGTCGCGGCCCGTTGCGGGTGCAAATTGATCGCCGGAAGTCCCACGCAATATCCCGAAAGATCGCCAAGTTGATAATTCGGTGTAAATTGCGAGTTTTCGATCGGTTTGCGCGAGTGAGTGAAGAAGCGTTCAGTGCGCGTAATGGCGGAACTGTTGGCGGAACAATTACGGCGACGTAGACAGGTATGGAATCTGAATAAATAACGTTTCGCGTATGTATTGCATGATACAAATATATGCGCATATTTTTGTTAAATTTTCAATATAGATTCAAAAGTATTAAAGGCTCTAGTCTCAATTATCAAATTGAGCACTGTATATTAATTATGTTAATTTTTGAAATTATTTGACATTCTTAGTATCTAAGGCGCAGTTGCATCAATATCACTTTGATTTTTAAGCGAGACTTAAAACTCCTCTGTCTCGTTTTAAAGCCAAGAAGAGACAGCGACAGAAAGGGTTTTAAGCTCACTTAAAATCAAAATAACGTTGGTGCAATTGGGCTTAAAACGAATAAAACAGTATCAATAAAGACTACGTTCAACAAAGACAGCGATTTTGCAAATGTTGTAAAATGTTTTAATATAATTAATTTATATTATATCTAGATTTAGTGAAAGGAACTAAAAGCAAGCATATTAATTATATTATATAAATATATTATAAATATGTTATAAAATTTTACAACAGTTACAAAGTTGTTTTTCTGTTTGCAACCAATCAGCGTTAATCGGATAAAACATGAGATAACATTTCAGATATCTCATTGTTAGTCGCTTTCCATTTTCACACAAGTGATACCGAGTCTAAAATATTGTATTATAAAATTATATACAGTGAGTACAAAAAGTATTAT